TCAAATAATATAAAATATTTATTGTTAACTTATAATATACTTATAAAATGATAAATTTTACGTGACTGATCCGTAATATTTAAATTTTTAAATTTAAAAAAAATAAAATACAAAACCAAACAAAATATTGCCAAGTACAAATATGTAGATATAAAATAAAAGTGTGTGGGATAATAAAATAAAACCAATTAAGCATCATGACATTAAGTGCATCTTGCGAAACCCTAATATGTATGTTCATGGATGTATGTCACATCAACCAACATAATCAATATTTTAATTAATTAGGTGTACATTAAAAAAATTAAATTTTGAAAAATATAAATATAAATATATGTATATATATATTTATATATTTTCACAATCACATGTCACATACAATAATCTTATCCATAGATTGGTATGTTGTACCTTAGATTTATATTTGAAGGTGACATTTTCAAAAATAAATTAAAAATACAACTACTCCAATATATATATATATATATATATATATGTATATGTATGTATATGTAATCTTCCATTGATTATAGATGTTATTGAAAAAGAATTCCAAATATTTTTTAATACCATTGAAGTAGTGAAAGAAAAAGTCTTAATGGAGATATTTAGAGAGAGATATTATATTTTTTTGAAGATTATATGAATTGAAGTTTTATACTTTAATTAATTTAAATAGATAATATATTTAAATTAATTAAAAAGATATTAACAAATATTATATATATATTAATATATTTGTTATCATATTTAAATTTTAGTTTGAAAAATAAGAAATTAACATGGGATTATGTGTTTCCATTTTACTTATATATAATATTATAATAGATAATGTGTGTGTGTGTGTGTGTGTGTATATATATATATATATATCCAGAGGCTTGAAGAAGCCAAAAGAATTTGTATAAAAAAAATGAAGACTTACAAAAGAAACAGAGCAAAACACAAATTCATCAGCAAGACTAACAAGGGAAAAAAAATGATCCCACAAACAAGACCCAGCAAATAGTGAATCAGAGGAGAAAAAGGTTGCGCCTTTGTAGGGAGGAAGAGAAAAAGCTGGAGCCTTTGTAGGGGAGGAGGAGATGGTGTTCAATAGCTTGGCAGTTCTATCGGTGGCCCACGCCTCGGCGGACGCATGGCAGCAGATTGCACGCATACCGATGCAGGATCGTGTCAGCAGCCACCAGCTGCTTGATCTTGTTTGCTGCTTCCCACTTCACCAATTGGGTCGCCTTGCTCTCTGTCTCTGGACCTTGCTGTGCCTGCCCCCACCTGATTCCTTCTACTACTCTTACCCTTCATCCTCTTCCGACTCCTCTGATGATAATGATGATCATCATCCTTATCATCATCACGATGATGGGTCTTCATCCTCCTCCGCCGTTGACCTTGATGA